ATCTCAAACTGGCCCAGCCCTGGCCAGTGGCATGTCCATCCTCAGAGCCATCAGGGACTGGCTCTGCCAGGCAGGGTGGGAGCTCCCAGCAGCTTCTCACAGAAGTCACCTCTGTGCCCCCACACCACCAAAACCCAGGTTGTGCAAAACCAACCCAACCCCACACTGTCACAGCTTTCCATCTCTGCCTTCCTACTGACTGTGGGATTTCCCACAAACAGGGGTTCCCCACCAACAGCCTGTCATTCTTCCTCCATCTATTTTGGGGAAGAGGCCCTGTTCCGACTGGGAGTGTTTTCCCACACCTCCCAGCTCAGACAGTTCCCTTCCCAAGGCCTCTCTCCTCTCTCCCCAGCACGGCAGAATACTCCACCGAGGTGTAGCCACCGCCCACCAAGGAGCAGGAGAACACGGACTCGAGCCCCTTTCCCAGCCTGGCAGTGCCAGGGGTGCTGGATGAACCCCAGGACACGGTGCCACATGTCCCATCTGGGACTGAGCTGGGAAGTGATGACAAGGACAGTGGCTTCACAGGAGCAGGCTGCTCTCTGACTCGGGAATGAAGGATGCTGTGGAGAGCTGGGATGTGCCTAAATGGGATAGAGCCGTGGCGCTGGGGACAAGCCCAGAGGCAGCCCCAGGATTGCTGTGCTGCAGGACATCACCTGGGTCCTTGTCACTCGCTTCCTTAAGCACAGGAAACACCACTTACCTTGTTCCAGCCTCCCTCTCCAGCCCTTTTGTTGCACTTTGGCCTCTTTTTCCGCCGCCTTCTGTGACCTCCTCACTCTCGCACCACCGGGGCACCTGAGTCCCTCTTTCCCGAACTCCTCCCCGTGTGTCAGGACTCCCACACAGCTGCAGCTCCGCCCGGCTGTCTCCATGGACGCGGCTCCACGGGAAAACGCCGCTGTTATCTCGGGCTCAGCCAGGTCCTGAGACCGGTTCCTGGCCCAGCAGCCACCAGCCATCGGTAAATAAATACAGCACCCACGTGGAAAACTGCCTGGTATTGCTCCTGCCTTCCTCCTCTGCCACCCCAAATCATCCCCCAAAACCTTTCCTTATCTCAGTGGGGACAATCACAGCTGCAGTGCCCACTCTGAGGGCTGAGTGGGAGATGGCTGGTGGGACACCAGGGTTTGGCCACGCACATTGGGAACACAGCCTGGTAAACGTGCCAGGATAATGGAAATACCTGGGGAAATGGGAAAAACACAGCAAATCCCAAATGATAGGGTTATCCCACCTTTTCCTTTAGACATCACTACTGGCCGGCCCCCTGCTCTAGACAGAACTCTGCAGCAGGAATGGGGGGACACCTCAGGACTGGACAGGTGCCACAGCTCAGGGGGCTCTGACAGGGGACCCCAGAAGCAGGACTGGGGGGCAGCCCCCTCCTTTCCCACCAGTAATGAACCCAGCCTGGCTGGACACCACCCTGGCACTGCCCCTGTCCCACGAGGGTCCCACCACGGACACTTCCCAAGGTGTCAGTCCCGGGGGATGTGCCCTAGAGGTGACACACTCCAGGCAGGACTGCAGGGAAAGGCACCAGGGTCAACTCAGCCTCAAAACTTCGCTCCCAAGAGCATGGAAAACCACAAACAACCCCATAGGGAACAGAAAGGAGCTTGCTGAGCCCTCACTTTTTGCACCGTTGTGACCAAAACTGGATCTGCTCCTCCATGTAACTTACCTACCACAGGGATAAACCCGGATGGACAAGAAAGATCTTATCAGCTCCTGGTTTGCTCCCAAGCCTCCCCACACCCCTGCCATCCCCAGGACCTGGGCTTCTTCCATGCAATCCTTCACCATCCCACAAATCCTACAGATTTACACAGGATTTTCCAGCTGATGCATCACAGTGTCCATGAGAAGTGGGCAGCCCTCAAAAAAGGCTGCTCCAAACACACACAGCCAGTGGCTGTGGGGACCAGGAGCAGGGGATTCTCCCCAGAGATGCCAACAGGGATCTGTCCCTTTCCCTCCTGCACCAAGCCAACAGCACTGGTAGCTTATATCCTAAACAATGAGGAGTCAGTCTGAGCGTTTCTCCATGGGAACAGGCCCAGTTGGTTGCCATCCAACCTGTGACCTGTACCTGTTTATTTATATAGACATAGTTATTCAATATACATCTACGTATATTTATGTATTATTAAATATCATTATAATTATAATATATATACATACGTATATACATACGTGTGTGTGTATATATATATATATATATATATATATATGAAAATACATACTCTGCACCCGTGGCCCTCTTCTCTTCTTGGCCTCGAATCACATGCTGGTTGATGTTTTTCTGGCTCAGGCTGGTGTTTGTCCAGGGGCTGCTGGTGCTGCTGTGACTACATCCATGATCCATGCCTGAGGCTCCAATCACCTCCACGGTAATTAGCACAGGGAATTTCTGCTATCCACAGTGGCCACGGCCGGATCCGGCTACCCGCGGCCAGTGCCAGCTGGAGCAACCACCTCCAGCACCAGCTTCATCTGGCAAAAAGGCTCTAAAGGCACGGAGAGAAGGAAAGGGAGGAGCAGGAAACAAACAGGAGCCCCCACAGCTCATGGCAGGTTTCTCCTCGCCCTGACACCTCCGTGGGCTCTTCCTGCCTGGAAAACCGGGGGCTCCTCCTTGGCCCCCAAGCCTTGAGACACCTGCTGGGTGTGTTGCTGTCCCCCTCCTCCTTTTTTTCTCTTCTCTTTCCCTCTCCCCTGCAGCCGGAGCTGTCGAATTCCCTCCCGCAGGTTCAGGTGGAGGTGGAGCAGCGGGAGGGAGGGACAGCCAGCCCTTCCCATGGGCCTGGCGCCCGGGGATTGGGGCAACGGGAGAGCCGGCCAGGGCTGGGGCTGAGCTGGGAGGAGAAATAGATAAACTATTAAAACAGAAAGGGAAAAAAAAAAAAAAAACGAGAGAAATTCCAAGCACTGATCTGGCCGGTCGGGTCGGCTCAAGCGGGAGGCGACGAGCAGGAAGCCTGCGGCTGGGGAAGCTCCAAAGGTAAATGCAGCTCTGTTCTGCTTTTCTTTCCGTGCTGAAGCTGCCCCAGATGAGGTCAGCAGGCTTTCACCTTCACCCCATTCCCTGTGCATTCCCGTTTTGGCTCTCCATCCCGCTCCCTGCCTCGGCACACCCACCCCACAGCTCCCTGGCCAGGGTGCCCCCCTGCCCTTCTCGCTTTCCCCATGGCCGTGCTCCTGGGAGTGCCATGCCCAGCCATCATTCACCACCCCACAACGTCCACACGCTTCTCTGCCTCGAATCTGGGGTGTCCCCATGCCAGGATGTGGGAAATGGAGCCCTGCTGCCCGTTAGCCCGTGCTCTTCCCTCCCTGGCCCTGGGCAGCCCCAGCACCCATTCCCTGCCATCCAACACTCTCCTTCCCTGGAGCAAGGGGATCCGGGGTTTTGGGGCCGCCCCACACCCCCTGGCAAGGCTGCAGTTTGTTGGAGCTTCCTTTTTCCAACCATCAGAGGAAATGGTTTAGGAGTGACCCATCCAGAGGCAGAGCTGGAGCATCACACTAGGCAGAGACAGCCCCATGCCACCCTCATGAGCGTCTCCCACCCTTTCCCCATGTGAAATCCGGGTGGGCTGGCTTGTCTCCTTCCCATCCTCTTCCTTCCCTGGCCATGGAGGAACTCAGTTAATCTTTTAGGTATAAATCACTCCCAGCTGGTCAAGCTGAACACGTACTGGGCGTCTCTCATGTACCTTGATCCCTGGTTTCACCCCACGCCTGGCACTAGGCTGCTCCAGAGGGAAGCACCATGCCTGCATCCCTGCTCCAAGCCAGAGCACAGACCTCCCCTTCCCACTCCACACCCACAAACATGGGGGGACAAACCCTGCTCCCACCCAAAATCAGCGTGCAGGCAGGAGTGCTGAAGCTCCACAGAAAAGAGGAGCCCTGGGAGAGGCTTTCACCCCTCCTGATTCCCAGATTCTGTGTGTTTACCATGGAAACATGGGCCCTGTGACATCCCTGAGACTCCCACTCCAGCCCCAGCATCACCCGCATCAGGTGTGTGGGGACAGAGCCCAGCCTTGCCAGGCTCTGCTCCCAGTATCTGCCTCTTCCCATGGGGCCATAGCAGTGATGCCAGCTGGTGGGGGTCCCTGTGTGCCATCCCTGTGCTCCCTGCTTGCCTGGAATGTTGTGCCAATCCCCAGTCCCTGGGCACAGCCACGGGGTAACAACGCACCGAGGCTCCCAACCCGCCGGAGAGCTCTCCAGGTGGGAGCTGCATTTCCATAAACAAACCAGACTGCTGGTAATTAGCAGGTTCAAGGGCATGTCAGGCTGGAGGCAGCTCTGCAGCCCAGGCAGGGAGTTGGCAGGGGAAGGAGGTACCACCGAGCCCCCCAAAAGCTGGAGTTTCCCATGGCTGAGCTCATTTCCCCACTTTAGTTTTGGATTCAGTCTGAAGCCACATTATTTTAAAATCCTGCAACCCCCAGCTGGTCATTAATCACCTCCCACACATAAATTCACGGTTGGGAAAGCCAGGCTGGGAGGCAGTGCGGGGAGGGCAGGTGACACAGTGGCCACCAGGCTGTGGGTGGGACGTGGCTTTGGCTTCCCTGCAAAGCAGCACCCGCCACCCCCAGTGGGAATCACCCCCACCCGACGGGGGTGGCAGGGCCCTCCCTGTGCCAGCACTCAGGAGCTGCTCCCGGTGTGTCCCAGGCCCAGCCCGCCCTGTGGCAGAGGCAGGTGGACTTTGTCCCCCCGGGAGATGCTGGCAGCGCCCGCGCCTGTCATCTGAGCGCGCCATGGCAGGTAGGTGAAATCCCACTTCTCCCCTGTTCTCCGCTGGGAAGGATCCCTGTGCAAGCTCAGCTGGGTGTCCTGCTCTGGTGTCACCTCTTAGGGCACCGAGGGTCCTTCCCAGCCCCCTAAACCGGCTCAGCATGTTGCTAAACAGCCATGAGCGCCACTCGCTGCCAGACCCCCAAGGCAGAGCTTGTTTTTCCAGGATGGCTACAGCAGTCATGATACAGCCCTGGGGGGAGCTGGATCAGCTTTCCCATCCAAACCCCCTCCCCTCTGTGCCCCCAGACCTTTGCGGCGTGCCCCCCGAAATCCTGGTGCCGGCTGCCAACGAGACGCTGGAGCTGGTGCTGGGCAGCCAGGTCGAGCTGAACTGCACCGTGCGCTGGGCGGGCACCGAGCACTGCCAGCCCATTCCCACCTGGAGCAAGGATGGGCAGTGGCTGGGCAGGGGCAGCAGCCAGGACACTGTCTGGTAAGGAGCCTGCCCTGAGGACGTCCATCCATCTGCTTTTGGGGGCTGCCACCACACAGCCTGACCCACAGCATCGCCCATGTCCTCCTGTCAGGTCTGGCCAAAACTCCTCGGAGCAGCTCCTGGCCAGCGTCCTGCAGCTCAACCTCACCCAGGATGCCGATTTTGGGGTGTTTGCCTGCTGGATCAGCAATGCCACGGCCACCTTCACCCTGCGGCGAGCAGGTAGGGACCGGCTGGTGACAGGGAGGGGGCATCCCACGGAGAGCCCAGGTGCAGGGGGGATTGAGGAGGGTGATAGGGACCCTGCTGCTTCTCCCACATTGGTGTGCAAACCCACCCCTGTGTGTGTGCTGGTGGGTTGCTGCTCACCGTGCCTTTCCCTGTCCTGGCAGAGGCGGTGGGGCACGTGCCAGCCGTGCTGGCAGCCCTCCTGGTCCTGCTGCTCCTGGTGCTCCTGGCTGTGCTCTACGTCCAGTGCCGCCTGAACGCGCTGCTCTGGTACCGGGACCGCTACGGAGAGCTGGAGATCAACGGTGAGCCAGAGGTGTTCCCACTGGGAGCAGCCTCCCGTGGCCTCAGAGGGCTCACACAGCCCTTCCCACGTTATCCCTGCCCCGTGGATCTCCCCAGATGGGAAGCTGTACGATGCCTACGTCTCCCACGCCAATGCCCCCGATGATCGGAAGTTCATCCACTTCATCGTGAAGCCACAGCTGGAAAACCGCCACGGCTACAAGCTCTTCCTGGATGAACAGAACATCCTGCCCAACTCAGGTAGGCACCAGGCAGGGCTGGGCAGGGGGTGGCACAGGCACCTGGGGGCTTTGACACCCTTTTTGCCCACAGAGCCATCAGCTGACCTCATCATGAATGTCAGCCGGTGCCGGCGCCTCATCGTGGTGCTCTCCGTGGCGTACCTGGAGCAGGAGTGGTGCAACAGCAGCTTCAGGTAGGAGCACAGCAGCTCCCACAGGAGGGGAGAGGGGCTGCCGGGTCCCTCACCCTCCTGTCACCCACTTGTCTCGCAGGGAAGGGCTCTGGAGGCTGCTGGAGCTTTCCAGGAAACCCATCTTCATCGTCTTCGAGAGCCAGTACCGAGAGATCACTCACCCTGCCATCACCCTGCTGAAGCAGCACCGAAGCGCAGTGACCCTGCTGGTGTGGAGAGCCGGCTCCATGGTGAGTGCAGAGCAGGATCCTGACCCCTCAGAGCCCCCTTTCCCTCCCCAGCACCCCCAGTGCCAGCCTCCCTGCTGCCCTTTGGGGCTGCCCCATGGTGAGAGCAGAGCAGGACCCATCCCACCAGCACCACCTTCTATTCCCAGCTCCCCATTTTGGGTCAGCCTCCCTGCTGCCCTCTGGGGCTGTGCTCTGAGCTCCAGTGCTAAAGAGCGGGTTTGGGCACTTACCTTTGGGAGGACATGTAAAAAACCAACCAGAAGAGCCCCAGATCTGGGAGCTCACCCCCAAACCCACATGGTCTGGACCCTGTGACACCCCAGGGCCTCCCCAGGCTCAGCTCCCCGAGCGGAGCTTTGGCCCAGGGCCACTCCGGCCATTTTGGGGCCAGGCTGGGAGCCGGGAGCGTTCCGGCAGGTCGGGCCGGTTTCGCCGCCGTGTGTGGGCACGGTGCCACGCCGGAGCACAGCCCTCAGCCCTCACCTTGGCCGAGCTCCCAGCGGCGGGGAGAGCGAGCCGGGCCCGGGGAACCCCGCGGGGCCGTGCTCTGGCGGTCCCGGCCCGGCTCATCCCCTCCGGGCCCTGCAGACCCCATCGTCGGACTTCTGGAAGGAGCTGTGCCTGGCCCTGCCGCGCAAGGTGTCCTTCCCGGCGGGAAGGAGCGTGGGGGACCCGCAGACCCAGCTGCAGGAGGACAAGGACCCCATGCTGATCCTGCACAGCAGCTACCTGGACAGTGCGGGAGACCTGGACCCCGACGGGGACCTCGGCACAGGTCCGTGTCCCCGCTGCTCCTCCCGAGGGGACAGATGCGCGCTGGACGTCACCCCTGTGGCGGCAGGGTGGGTCCTGCCCCTTCCCCCTCCGGCTAAACCCATCTCCCCGCTCCTGCCAGGCCTCCGAGGGCGCATCTTCGGCAGCCCCCCACCCCCCCGCCTCGGTGGGCCCGGCATTCCCAGGGCTCCAGGCTCCAGCGGGATGGAGGAGGCACAGCTGAGGGACGGGCAGCGCTCCGAGATCGACGTCTCGGACCTGGGGTCGCGCAACTACGGCGCCCGCACGGACTTCTACTGCCTGGTGACAGAGGATGACATCTGAGCAGGACCTCAGGTGTCCCCCAGCACTGTGGGGACACACAGACCAGGTCAGGGCTGAGGAGCCCAGAGTTATGATGGGATCAGAGCCATGGCCATGCTGGGAAAGCAGGAGCTGGCTCCAGAGTGGAGGACTGGAAAACCATCACCAGGAGCACCCTGCCCGTAATACCTCAGTGCCACCCCTGGGCGCCACCCAGGCGGCTGGGCCGTGTCCCTTGCCGTGGGTGGCAGGTATGTTCTTCCTGCATGATGGACAGTGCTGGGATGGGTGATGCTCTCCAAGGAACAACGTGTCCCAGCCCCAGGGAGTGCCCGACAGGAGTGGTGGCAGCACCTTTGTCCCATATGGAAACCCCCGTGACAATAAAAGGCTGCTGCACCCACTGCGTCTGTCCATGATAGGGACACAGGTGACACAGAGGGAGGGGCATTCCCCACTACAGGCAGTGCTTTGATCTGTCCTTCCCATGCCAGGGTCCCTGTCACACTAACTTGGAGCCATGCCAGGCACAGAGCCTCACCCTGTGCTGGTGTCCCCATGGCACTGCTGTCACTGGGACACTGTCCCCCCTCTCCCAGGTGCTATCAAAACGCAGGTGCAGGTGGGCATCACTCAAGGCCTTTATTTCAGGGGTACACAGGGTGGGGGGGTTGTACACAGAGAGCTGCAGAGCCAAAGACCCCGTGCCCCAAGCCTGGACTGTCCCATTCAGCTCACCGTGGGGGCTGCTCCAGCCCCTCCGCCCGTTCCCCCCATCCTCCCACCCCTCTACCTACTCTACATTGTCCCCCCGGGGTGCCCTGTGCCCCCCAAGCCTGGGGGCTCCCCCAGCCCAAACCCACCGGCAGCCCAAAGCCACCCCCAGCCCAGCCGTGTGTCCCCTCCCAGCCACTACTGTGGCACAGAGAGCTCTGGACCTGTCTGCACCCAGCATGGGGACACAGGGGACATCTCCCCACCCACAGGGTGACACTGCTCAGCAAACATGACCCGGACGGCCCTGCCCAGATCCTGCTGTGCCAGCAGGGCCCAGCCCTGGCAGCAGCTGGTGAGGAGCCACTCTGCCACACTGGGACAGTCCCCACAGGGTGACAGATGGGGCCCTGAAGCTCTCCCAGGCTTCCTGCAGCGAGGGCACAGAACCCCATCAGACACAACCCCCTGCTCACCCTCCACAGCAAAGGGGGAATGCAGCACTGTCACAGCGTCCCTTCCCAGCTCCCTGCAGCTGCTGTGCCACCCCATAAACTGTGGGAAGCCACCTCAGAGCCCTCCAAGCCCCCAAGCCATGCAAAGCTTCATCCCCCCCCAGCCAGGGCAGAACTCTGGCACAGGGCACGGACAGCCCCGGCCCCGCAGCTCAGGGAGCTGGGATGAAGCTCCCCCAGAAGCCCCCTTGCCCCAGAATCGCTCTACAGGAGCCTTCCCAGCTCCCTACAGCTCGTGCTCCCCTGTCAAGCCAGGACAAGCCAAGTTTTGCAGACAGCTGCCTGAGCGTGGGGAGAGCCCCCAAGGGGTGCCATGGGGCAGCCCCCTCCTAACTGGGGCCCCACAGCAGAGCCAAAAGCAGCTGCTGGGTTTAAGGCTGGGCAGGAGGGAGGACGAGTGTCCCCCAGCCAGGGAAGGGGACCCAGCAGAGGGGGGAGGCATGTGGGACGTAGGGATTAGGCTACAGAGTGGGGGTCTGGCAGCGAGCAGCCTCCCCACGGCATGGCTGGCAGCACGGAGCATCCCAGCGAGGCATTCCAGCTCCCAGGGTGTCCTCACAGGCTGAGGAAGTCCTCCTTCCGGTAGCCCTTCTGCAAGGAGACAGCCCCATCAGGCACAGGGAGCCGCTGTGCTCCGGCACTGATGGTCCACAGTGTCCCCACGCCACCCAGAGCACAGGGACAACACTCTGGGATGGCCCCACACCTGGAGAAAAGCAGGTGTGGAGTGGGGGCCCACCATATCCTGGGAAGCATTTGGGTGGTGAGGCTCTCCAGGATGAATCTCCTTGGCCTTGGTTCCCTAGGGATCCCCCCACTGGCAGCAGGGGGCTCTGGAATGGGTACGTACCATCTTGAAGTCCCGGTGGAGCTTGGCGTACTGCCACATGTTTCCCAGGAGGCTGGCGGCAGCGCGGGAGGACTTCTCGTTGTCCGAGCTGGGAAAGGGACAGGATGCCATGATGTTTTGGGGACCACTGAGCATGGGACAGCTCAAGGACACCACGCCAGAGGGGTCTGGAGGGATTTGGGGCTTGGTGAGAGTGGGGAGAGGCAGGAGGTGAATGGCTGGATCCCACAAAAACAGGCAGGAATAGGGAGAGGTTCCCTGATGGGAAAAGGCAGCTATGGTGATGGTGGGGTATCCTTAGGGGGTGACAAAGGGCTGGCAGGTGGCCACAAGGCCACTCTGAGCTAGTGTGGGGACTCCCAACACCAAGGCTTGGGGAGGGAAACTTGTGACCCTCTTCCACTGTGTGGGAGCAGGGAGGGAGAGGAGAGCAGGACAGGAGGCCGGGCGTGAGCAGCTCCCACCTGTCCCGTCGCTTCTTGATGAAGAAGAGCTTCCTGAGGCCGTCGAAGTAGACGATGTCGCGGGCGGCCATGGGGCTCTCCACCACCAGGTTGTTGAGCACGGCGATGATGTTCACAATGACATCGGCGGGCGGGGCCTTGTCCCCGACACTCCCCGGCAGCTTCTCGATCAGGTGGCTGACCACCTTGGTGGCTGTGGGCAAAGGGAACATCAGGGCTGGTGGCCAGAGCTGGAGGGACAGAGCCACGTCTGGGAACAGGAGATGGAGCAGCCCGCTGGCTCAGCTGCATGCGGGGATGCAGCAGGCAGGATGGGGTTGGGATGTGGCTGGAGATAACGGGAGGCAAAGGAAAAGGTTGGGAAGCACCCCCCAGCCCTGGCTGACCCCTGGCACTCACACATCTCGTCCTTGTTGCGGGCGTGGCGGGACAAGTTGCGGATGAGGCCGGTGAGGGAGCGCAGCTGGTGGTGGTCAGCAGTGCGGACGCGGTCCAGCACGGGATTCAGGATGCGCTCCTGCTCCAGTGCCAGCCGGCTCAGCACCCCCGCCCACTGCAAGGCAAACATCCCCTTGGAGACCCCACCAGCCTCCTGCTCCTCCTCCTCCCACTCACTGGGAGCAGGTTGGGGTGAGCCCTGCCCAGGTGCCCCCCTCCCACAGGGCTGTGGTAGACAAGCTGTGGTGGGCAGGCTGTGGGACCCCGGTGTCCCCAGGCCATGGTGGGCCGGCTGTGGGATCCCGGTGTCCCCAGGCTCACCCTGCGGTCCCCGGCCGTGATGTTCTGCAGGGCACCTGAGGCTGCCTCTGTCGTGTGCTTGTTGAGCTCGCAGCGCTGCAGCAGCCGGTTGTAGATGCCCACGATCTGCGGGTTCCAGAGCCACTCCATGCCCTTGGGGTCCTTGGAGACCTCCGTGAAGGTGACGATGTCCGCGTTCAGGTAGTGCTGAGGGACAGAGGCATTGTTAGACTCCAGGGATGTCCCCTCCTCATGTCCCTCACTGCCAGTGTTGCCTTTTCCAAACCTGCCTGGCCTGAACTGCTGGGCAGGGAGCTGGCAGGTCACCCTGGCTACATCATGCCCTATAGCATGGAAAAGCAGAGGTTCAGCACCTGATTCACCCCAAACACCTGATTCACCCTCTGCTGAGCTCACCCGTGTGTCCCACCCACCAGCTAAGGCTGGCGTCCACCTCCGCCCTGGCATCACCTCTGCTGCCAGTGCTTCCCAGTGCCAGCCCCACCCCGGTGACAGGGCCAGGATGTGCCCCCACTGACCTCCCGGGCTTTCTTGCTCTGGGGGCTGAAGCAGCCCACCAGCTCCCCTGTCACTGTGCCACCGGCGTTCCTGCGGTGGCCCTCGAGGCGCTGCAGCGAGGACGGGGGCATCTCGTCATACAAGCGGTAGGAGAGGTTGCGCAGGACACAGACCGCATTCTCCACGCTCTGGGGGGCACAGGGGACACGAGGGTGTCATCCCTTGGCCACCTGCAGGGTGTGTCCCGCTGGCACAGGGGCTCTACAGCAGAGTCATGACACTGGGTGTGCCCAGCGAGCCCAGCTGGTGGACTCCAGGAGCTGGACTGGCTCTCCCAGCATCACACCAAGATGTGCCTTTGTACAATGGCGTGGGGGAGCAGCACCACAGCTCCTCTAGGACCACCTTGGGGTCTCACCTTGTCCTCCGACTTCCCCACCTCCAGGGAGCTGTTCACATAGTGGATCATGGAGTCCACCAGCCCGTGGCACTCGCGCATCTTCTGCCGGGTCTGCTGGCTGGCAGAGCTCAGGTTCCTGCATGGGAACAGGGTTTTGTCATGGAGAGAAGGGGATCCCCCACAGCCACCCCTTCCTGAGCCCAAAAACGAGCCTTGCAGACAGTGCTCCTGTCTCTCCCTCGCTCCAAAACTTTGCTCCCAGTGGGAGGAGCTGGAGGAGATACCTGAGGAAGCCTGTGGAGTTATAAAAGATCTCTGCCTCTGAGGGGTTCTGCTGGATGACACCCGAGGCCCCCAGCCCAGAGAGAGGGACCAGGACCAGGTCTGTGAGCTGCTCCAGCGTATCCCGGGCCAGGCGATCCTTCAGGTTGTCACTGGAGGACAGATTCCACAGGATCCCTGCACAGAGGGGGACCCTCAGTACTGGAACAGCTGGAGAGCACATCCACCCCAACTCCCCTCCCCACGGGGGTGGTGACAACCAAGCCAAGGGATCATCCCTGTGGAGCTCCACTCACACCAGGGCAGTAGAGGCCAACCCCAGGGAGGAGGACCCTTTCCCACCCCACCATTGTCCCCAACCTGTGACGTTCTTGCGGAGCTCGTCGTCGGGCTCCCGCAGGGTGCGCATCAGCTCGTAGATGCCGTTCTCCTCCACCAGCGCCAGCTTGTTCTCGGCGTTGTCGTAGATGAGGTTGCGCATGGCGCCGGTGGCGTGGCGCTGCACCTCCTGGTTAGGGCTGTTGAACAGCTTCACCAGC